ATTCATATATGAATAGATTTTTACGTGCACCTCTAGTTTTCTCTTCCTCTTCTCTAAAGCAGCGCAGCAAGGCATCGCCCCCTTTGCTGCCTTTTCCCGGGGGTGGGGTTTATCTGGGTTTGTGATGTCACGAAACCCGGGAAGTAACTCGTTGTAGTCCCTACCAGCCGTTTTTGTAGGCATTAAACTGCCAGAATTTTAAAAGACGATGTTGCAGATATCGTTTATGCTCAAACAGCAACATTACACTAACTAATGTTAAAAAAGTGAAATCACAACGAAACACCCCTTTAACATTAGATTGAGCAGCCATGTAAAGTTGTTACTACATACATCTTTCAGATGAAAAGCCATATATGAGTTCAATAAATGATAGGTGGGCCGTGGGCGTTTGGATGTCCTGCCCGATGTACTGTATTACTACATAGACCAGCCCATCTGTCTGTCACAGACTGCGTACGTCATTCACTTAACCAGCCACACCAAAGCAAACAGGAGGAGAGCATAAAGAGACAGGGCAACTAGAATTGAGTTCAAAATTAAAATATACAGTTTATATTTTATTTATATAAAAGGTATTTGAGTATAAAGTACATCATAGTGTTATTACGATTCCCGGTCCCGCCCACCCCTGCTGACATTTTTTTCCTGTCCCGTCCCAATTACGTAATTAATAGTGAATTTGTTTCCCATCCTGTGGGATTCCCGAAAAAATGTCTGCCTGTACTGGTCACTAACACATATAACAGTTATAACGAGGTGAATGGATGATGTAATGTGTATCAGTTATAATGTGAAAGTTGTGAGATTAAAAGAAAGAAAATATTTAATCAGCTTAAAAAATGCAATGCTCTATTGCACTCCTTCAAGAGACCCACTTGTCTGATGTGGAACATTTAACACTGAGAAGAGAATGGATGGACCAAGTTTACAGTGCCTCATTTGCTAAGGGGAAGAAGAGAGGGGTTGTAATCATGTTTGCCAAGTTCGCCTTTTTTAATATGGAGCAGGTAAACAATGATAAAGAGGGAAGATGTATCATGGTAGTTGGAACAATTTCAGACAAAAAAAATACTATTCTTAATCTTTATGCACCTAACGAAGACCATCCACAGTTTTTCAAGAATGTTTTCTCTTTGTTGGTACAGAAGGGTGAGGGAACATATTTAATTGGTGGAGACTTCAGTTGTGTATTAGACAGCAATGTTGATAGGTTAACAGCAGAAAGGGGGCCACAGGCAAAAAAAGCAAAAGTTGTTTTAGGAATAATGAGAGAACTAGGTTTGCCAAATGTTTGGCGACACTTGCATCCTAAAGAGAAGGATTTTACTTTTATGTCTCATGTGCATGGTAGTTATTCAAGAATAGACTTTTTTTGTACATCTAGAACAGATCCACAGTGTTAAAGAATGCCAAATAGATCCCATAACTATATCTGATCATGCGCCAGTTAGGTTAAAACTTCAATTAGGACAAGGTAAACTATTTAAATACTGGAGATTAAATGTGTCAGTAATAAATGATTGTAAGGCCAAAGAAGAAATAAGACAACAACTGAATGAATATTTTCATATTAATGATAATGCTTGGTTACTTCATCTATTTTGTGGGAGGGGGCCAAAGCAGTGACAAGAGGTAAAATAAATAACATCCAGGAATAAAAAAATAAGATTAGCTAAACAAAATGAGACAGAGAATGAAATCAGGAAACTAGAAATTGAACATAAATTAAAACAGGAAAGAAAGAAATTGGATGATTTACTTACATATTAAGCAGAGGGGGCGCTTAGATTTGTAAGCAGAAAATATTATGAGATGAGTAATAAAGCAAACAGGCGTTTAGTCTTTCAATTACATAAGGCTCAAGCTAGCAGAGTTGTTCCAAAAATTAAGCACCCAGATACTTTAATAATGTTAACTCAACCAAAGGATATAGTTAATGCATTTGAAGATTATTATAAAAAAATATATGAAGGTCAGAATCTAATAAATAAGGAAGAAAAAGTTAAAAGTTTTTTTGCAACCAATAGATTTAAATAAATTAACAGAAGAAGAAGCAAAGGAAATTATATCCCCTATTACGGAGGGATATAGTAAAATTCAAAAAGAACAAGTCACCAGGGGTAGACGGATTACCCGGGGAATTTTATAAGACATTTGTAAATGAATTGGCTCCTAATTTATGTAAGGTGTATGATTATGTACTACACCTTACATAAATTAGGAGCCAATTCATTTACAAATGTCTTATAAAATTTATGTAAGGTGTATGATTATGTACTACACCTTACATAAATTAGGAGCCAATTCATTTACAAATGTCTTATAAAATTTATGTAAGGTGTATGATTATGTACTACACCTTACATAAATTAGGAGCCAATTCATTTACAAATGTCTTATAAAATTTATGTAAGGTGTATGATTATGTACTACAGAATGAAGACCCACCACACTCTTGCGACTCTGACGCAATCATTACTGTACTTCATAAAACTGGAAAGGATCCTACGCAATGTACAGCAAAATATAATTGCAAAGATATTATTTAAACTGAGCTGGATGTTGACATCACTGAATTCAATGATGAACTGTCTTTAACTGAAAAATGAGTGTTTACTATTGTCACTTTGCATTATTGACACTATTTTCCTAATTAATGCTGTTCAGTTGCTTTGACACAATCTGTATTGTTAAAAGCGCTATATAAATAAAGGTGACTTGACTTGACTTGACTTGACTTATACAAACCAGACCTCCGTGGACAAACCAGTATTGCGAATAAGAACATTTCCTTTAGGTATTACATGGAGTGAAGATGAAAACAAAATGCCATCGAATCATTTCTGAAGACAGTCAGAACCTTCAGAGGTACAATCATAAAATTCATATACTGTATATATTAATTTGTATAATTCCCTTAGCACTCTTTTAAAACCTCCCAGCTTTTTCCGACCTGTTTTCACTCAAAACTAAACTACTCTGCGCGTTGTGTGCACGTGACACTGTTACTTAAAACTGTGCTTTATGCTGGACAGTATTTATTTATCGCGAGTTGTTCAAATTGCGGTAATCTAATATGGTTTTAATGATAATTAAAAGATGACACGGTAATACTAACCATGGGGAATATTATCATGATTAATCGTTACATCCCTAGTTTAGATCCTACCTGTCTGACTGTTACCACTTTGTTGTTTTTAAACGGGAAATCATCTCAATTAATGCCAGTAAAGCATGGAGTGCCACAAGGATCTGTCTTAGGCCTTCTGCTATTTTTAATATACATGTTGCCACTTGGTAATATTACAGAAAATATTAATTTCCATTGTTATGCTGATGAACCTCAACTATACGGTACATTTCAACAAGACCAGATGAAACTAATGAATTATCTAAGCTAACAGAGTGTATTAAAGATGTAAAAGTTTGAATGACCAATACATTTCTCCAAATAAATTCAGATAAGTCAGAGATATTACTTATTGGACCAAGAAACAGTACACAGAATCTCTTCACAATTTGCATCTAGAGGAATGCACTGTTACTTCCTCTACAGTCAAAAACTTGGGTGCTATATTAGGCAGCAAATTGTCTTTTGAAAATCATATTTCACATGTAACAAAAACAGCATTCTTCCATTTTAGAAACATTGCCAAGCTATGTGGAGTTCTTACCAGGTCAGGAAAATATGATCATATTACCTCAAATTTACAATCTCTACACTGGCTAGTGGCTACATATTACGATATGTATCAGTTATAACATACTGCTACTTACTTATAAGGTCCTAAATGGTTTAGCTCATGCCAACCCTGAACCAACATGCAAAACTATCAAATTGTCCTTGCATTACTATAAGTTTAATCACAACTCTTAAACGCTGTTAATCGTGTTCACCATTTCTTTTTGAATACATTTAATTAACTAACTGTATGATTTTTACTATCCTAGAACCATACATTTCTGCCATAGTCACCACTGATAAACTACTCCTAAATGTACTGTAAACTCCTAAACTTACATTTTCTGTGAAGCCACTTTGCAACAATGTGTATTGTGATTATCATAAGTATTATCATTATTATTATTATTTGTAAAAATGTAACTCTTTACTGTCACTTATGATCAATTTAATATGCCCTTGCTGAACATTAATTTCTTTCATAATTTTAAAACTGTAGGGTTTTCATATTTTGGTGATATAGTGATATACATGCATACATATACATTTAATATAAATAATAATAATATATATAATATCTCCACCAAAATTTACTGAACAAGAAAATGTAATGATCATAATCCTTCCAAAATGAAAGTCTTCCTCATTCTTTAGATATGCAGAATACTGGTCACATAACAATGCTCTTTGTTTTGGCCCACTCAGAGCAGCTGACACCAGCTCAGAACACAATCACAGCCCAATGTCAGCGCCACCCCACACTCACAGACTTCATCAGATCTGCTGGAGCTTATCAGTTTACTATATTCAGCCAATCTGCATTGTCTTAAAACATACATTACACAAACACAAATTAATGTCCTCATTTCCTGACCTATATTTAAACTAACATGATCAATAACTTCTGCCTCTTCATAGTTAACAACAATAAAATAACAAACATGTGCATAACTGCCCTGGAGTCATAAAACAAATGGCACCAAAACAAATGAAACAGACGTGGTCTGTTCCCAGTGGCGGAAGTGCCAATACCACCAAGAAAGCTTTTTATAACTTGCATTTGTTGTGTTTTCTAGGGTGGGACAAAGGCTTATTGTGTAAGGCATTGTGCTGAACACACAGGCAGTGTATGAAGTGTGCCATAGGGCTGTTTGCCCACTCACTGCATCAATACTAGACTGAGAGCTTCTGTGCACAAGATGATCTATAAAAACACATACAAACTCACCTTTAAGGGATTTTGGCATGGCATGGGCCACACTGTACTCTCAACAGAACAAGGTCAGGAGCACCAAAACTGATATTCAGATATTTGTCAAATATACCTGGACATTGGTGAGACATCATCTTGCTCTTTTTCCACAGTGATGCATGTCTCTGAAAATGCTTCCCTCCAGAACGGGTGAGATAATAAAGGGTCCCAGCTTAACCTACAGATGACAGGAATATAGGAGATCCACAGATGAAGCTACAGTGCCAATGTAATGTGACAGGTTCAATGGTGTGGAAGGAATGAATGTTTTCATTGCAGGTCACATCATTCATGGTCTCTGAGCAAAAGTCTGAGACTATGAATTGCATAATTTATTTGGAATTAAAGAGATTATTTGGTGTCTATCATTGCACTGTCTAACTCATATTCATAAGTCTCCTGACTACAAGCAAGAAAATTATTGGATTAACACTTCCTTAACTAAGACGAGACTGAGTAAAATAAATGTTTTACCTTTTCACAGGGTCTTTCTGAAGTAAACCCATTACTAGGCTCTCAAACTCTGGACTGGGCTGTGAGAAAGCAGGTTCTTAAAAAGAAAAAGAAAAAGAAAAAAAAGTATGTAATTAAATGTTTAATAAAAGGAACACTTAAAACAGTACAATATCTTTAAGCTGAGGTGTCAGACCTTTTTGTCTTAGGGGTGGAGGACCTTCATTTAAAATGAGATCAGCTAGTCCGGTCATACTCTCAGAGACAAAGGGTGGTTTTCCTAGGAAACAAAAAAGACAATGAGACAAAATCAATCTGACCAGAAAGTATTTTGCGAAGGCAAAAGCTGTGGATTAAGATAAAATGAGTAACCTGTGAACATCTCATATAGGATGCAGCCTAAAGCCCACAGGTCACTGCAGACACTGGTGTCTGCTCCTCTCAGCACCTCAGGAGCACAATACACAGGAGAACCTGCCAGAGCAACATCTTATGACAAATCATACAAGCGCTTCAAACTGACTTCATGTAAGATCTGGATCATATTAGATAGATGACTGATAGAAAGCAACGAATTTAGCTGACCTTTAATTCTGTTCTTGATGTTTTGTGGAGAGATAATATTCTCCTTGCTGTCTCCAGCTCCCATCTCCTCTGCCATCACAAGAGAGAAGAACTCCTCCAGACATTCTCCTTGAGCCTTGGCCAGGCAGAAATTAGAGTACTTCAGAGTTCCTGGTCCATCCAACAAAATCTGTGAATACACAGGTGCATTAGCTAGGGTTGAAAAAAAGAAAACGCCAAAAAAAGACGACTATTGGCATATAAACTGAACCTTTCCTCTCATGTGGCTTAGTGTTTGTTTAAATAACAAGGAGTAGTTATTTTATTTATACAGCACTTTTCGAACCTCAAAATTGCTTGTAGAAAAAAAAAAAAACAAACATAAGAAAAAAACAAACATCTTAAATAAAAGACAGATGCTTATACCTTTGCAGGTGTGAGATCCGAGACAACAATGCCAGAGTCGTGGATGTATTTAAGACCTTTCATCAAGTCGATGGAAAACTCTCGCACTACTTCTTCAGACAGGCACTCATCTTGAGCAACCAGCGCTGCCAGGGATCCACCTAGAAGAAAATGCAATTGCAACAAAGGTAAAACCACACAAAATGATCAAAACATAAGCATTAAGCATAAGCATTTCAATACCTAAAAAAGCAAGACGGGGGTTAAAGCAGACTTAGTACACAGATAAGAGTGTATTACATTTTTTAGGGATCTCACCAGTTTTACTTTGGTATCATTGGGCTACTATGTCTTATTAATATTTAAATAATAATAATTATTATTATTATATTTTGTTTTGATTTGATTTTAAGTTATAGCCATTTCTGTTTTTATAAATTGTGTTATTTGTATTTTAAAAAAAAAACACAAATCTTTTTTATTTATCGATTTGTTTATTTGTTTTTACTATAACAATCCTGGATCTCACCTGTGCACATCTCCACCACCAGCCACAAATGGTTGCTAGTCTCATACCATTCATAAAAAGACGCCACATTGTCATGCTTAATGTCATGAGCAAGTCTCACCTGTGGAGATACTGTGACAGTTATCAAACATAGGAGTACTGTGTAAGGTAAACACTTTCAAGTGCATGCAAAACATTGCTCAAAACAAACAGCTTAACAATTGTGCTTGTACACACATGCTTTGTGAGTTCGGGTCTCTTGGATTTGTCACTGCAGATGATTGCCTTTCCTTCTGCCCTTATCCACCACCGATCTGCTAGTACCTCTGCCGATCTCTTCAGACAAAATCAAGTTCTCCATCTACGCAGTGATGGAAAGCATGAGCATTAAAGCCAAAACAAACATCTAAAACACATGGCAGTTTTGAAATGTAGTTTTCAGATGCAAAAACACACCTGAGACTCACGTGAGATTGAGAGCTCGAGCTCACTGGCAGTTTATAGTGCCAACGTTAACTACTAACACAGAGGTGCCCAAACTCGGTCCTGGAGGGTCGGTGTCCTGCAGAGTTTAGCTTCAGCTTGCTTCAACACACCTGCCTGGAAGTTTCTAGTATGCCTATAAGAGCTTGATTAGCTGCTTCAGGTGTGTTTAATTAGGGTTGGAGCTAAACTCTGCAGGACACCGGCCCTCCAGGACCGAGTTTGGGCACTCCTGTACTAACACAACTTCCTGACCATAGGGACCCCAAAACGGTTCAATATTACAGACACGGATCGATTAAAACAATATTTTAAACATTTAAACAATCTATTGGGCTTAAATACTGGGGTAATTGTCTTTTGCATAAGTTTTCCTTTCGCGCGGTAGACAACTGACAAACGGACACAACCTTAGAAGCGAAACCAACTCGCATGAGGGGAAGCCATACATTCATGCGATTTGAATGACAATTGTAGAACAGAAATGCATTTTTACATAAAATATATTTTGAAATGGTAAATATGTAAAAAATATTAAATATTCACATGCCATTTTCATATTCATTTCAGTATTCATACACCCCTACTATCCCTCGTTGCTAGGATACAGAAGAGGACGCATTGTTGCGTTTAGGAAACAGGATCATCTGAGCATGCGCACCCGGAGCACCAGCCATTGGTTGAATACCAAAATCGTCTCCTGTTACATGCACCTGTTTCTTTATTTCTAATGTTTGCATTATTGCTAAAGTTTTTTATTAATTAGATTCTGTAACCATATATATGAATTCGTTTTGTAGTATGACAGGATATTATGAAAGTTAATGTGTTTAGTATTTTGTGTTGTATTTTGCCGCCAATATTTAGTATTGTCGTTGTTTTTTCTGTCACTGCGTGTATGCAGAACCGATCATATCAATAAACTAACCTATTTTTAAAGTTGTGAAAGAGTTGCAAAAGCAACAGTGAGGATGGGGAGTGGCGTTACGCTCA